TGTATTGCATTATGCAGGTCCATTGTTTCTCTCCAAAATACTTAAAAGCATTGATATCAGTTTGAAGACTAAGGTGCATATGAGTCAGGCCATGGTCTTTTCAATTACTTGTTATGTATCTGAGAGCTGGATATTGACTAAGGATAACAGAAAAAGAACTGATGCCTTTGAGGTGTGGTGTTGGAGAGAGAGACTACTGAATATCCCACAGACTGTCAAAAGAACATGTATCTTGGAAAAAGTGAAGCTAAAGAGTTCCTTGGACGCAAAGACGGCAAAGCTTTGTCTCTCATACTTTGGACATGTTGCTAGGAGAGGCCATTCCTTGGAAAGGGACATCATGCTTAGAAAGCTAGAGGGTCAGCAAAAGCAAGAAAGATCTTAAACCAGATGCACTGACACAGTGACTGCAGCAATGGGCAATGTGTGTGAGAGAGACAAGAAGGATGGTGCAGGGCAGGGTTCAGGTCTTTTGTTCATTGGGTCACTATGAATCATATTCAACTTGACAGCATCTAACAACAATGTATATGTATACATCTTTACTGACATTAAGAAAAACTTCAACAACTCAACAAGGAAAAGACAAACACCCAATCACAAAATGGGCAGAGGATAGGGAAAAACACTTCACCAAAGAGACATTCAGAAGACCAACACACACATGATGAAATGCTCAAGCTCATTAGCTATCAAAGGGATGAAAACCAAACAACAATGAGATATAACCTTATCCCAGAAAAATAACACTTAATAAGACATTAAGCAACAAATGCTGGAAATGGTATGGAAAGATTGGAAGTTTCATACACTGTTGGTGGGAACACAAAATGGTGCAACCACTACTGAAAGCAATTTGGTGCTTCCTTACAAATTTAAGAATAGAAATATCACTGATCTAGCAATCCCACTACTAAATAAATATAAAAAATGAGTTGTGACATGAACAGGTAAATCTACAGCCATGTTTACTGGAGGACTATTTATAAGAGCAGAATTATAAACAATTTAAGTGCCCATCAATGAACGAATGACGAAAGAAACTGTGGCTAAATATCATACAATGACGTATTACGCAGCTCTTAAAAAATGATCAAGAACTGGGGGTAGCAGGGAGGAAAACATGCAACAATGAATTCATGGAAATGCAAGTTCTTCAGAAACTTTCATTAAAATATCAATTAAAAAAATTATCAAGAATTAACATGAATGAAATGAAATCAAACTATGCTAAGTGATGTAAGTCAATCACAATATAGCAAATATTATGTAAGTTAGTCACTAGTATGAAAAACTAAAGAAATGTTTATACACAGAATCATCTTTGTTTGGTTACCAAAAGATGGGAAGGGGGAGAGAAGATTAAAAAATTAATAAATTATACTTATTTAGATGGGAAAGGCAATACAGAATAAGCAAACAATCAGACATTACAGATATTTCTTTTCAGTATAAAACAAAAAGTATATAAATAAATGAATGAAAAATCTACATGCTTTGTAAACCTTTCACTCAAATAACAACAAAAAATTAAAATAATTTTTAAAAGAAAGTTGAAGGGGAGCTCTGGTGGCCTAGTGGTAAGGAGCTGCAACTACAATCCCAGAGGCCCACGGTTCAAATCCACCAGATGCTCTGCCGAGGAAGGAGGGACAATCTCCTCCTGTACCAGTCAGATCTGATTTGATGGTACACTCACTCAAAAATAATAAAAAATTTAAAGAAAAAAAGAAAGTGAATAAATGGTGTGTTGTGTTAGATATTTTTATTCCAGTGCATAATTATTTTTTTAAATTTTATTTTATTATTTTTTTGCATGTGTACCATCAAATCAGATCTAACTGGTACAGGAGGAGATTATTTCTCCTTCTCCAGCAGAGCATCTGGTGGATTTGAACCACATACCTCTGGGATTGCAGTGCAGTTTCTTGCCACTAGGCCACCAGAGCTCCCTTCCAGTGCATAATTTTTAGCAGATTGGACATTTACATAGCCTCAGAGATACCATGAACTGCTAGGAGAACAAACAGGTTTGCCCTAGGGAGAGTGAAACCAGACTGGAAGCAAAGATTCTGAAGCTTCATCTGACATACTTTGGGCATGTTGCAAGGAGGGACCATTCCTTGGAGAATGGAGGGACAGCACAAGAGAGGAAAATTCTCAATGATACGGAGGGACAGCACAAGAGAGGAAAATTCTCAATGATACGGATTGACACAGTGACTGATGTAATAGGGGTGGGTGTGTCAAAGACAGTTAAGGCTGGCATAGAATAGAGCAGCGTTAAGAACTATTGTACACAGGGTCCCTATGAGTTGTAAGCAATTTGATAGTGCATAACAACAGAGATTAGCCAAGAAAGCCATTAAACTCTTATGATGAAACATAACATTTTATTACTATAATCTCTTCTTTACCAAACATGGACTCAAAGAGTCTAGCTTCAAAAGCACATTTCACTGTTTTGCTTTTTTAAAGAAAAATGTATTATATTCACCACCCAGGTTTTCCATATGACAATAAACACATACACACAAATGAGAACTCACAGGCCCATTGTAATGCACTGTCCCATTTCTGAATACAACACTTAGCTCAGGCTTACTGCCCTGACAAATAAAGGAAAGCACTTTATGAAGCCAATTTAATTGGGAGGTGACAGAAAACATACAACCATTCTCTTTAGCCTTATCATTGAATTGGCTTCAGCTCCAATCTCTGGCAAATCCCACTCAACAGAAGAAATTAACCAGGTCAGCAGAACAGGTGCTTCGTTGTGTCTGTCAAGGGTCTGGCATCACCACAATTACCTGCACACAATGAAGCAATAATCTTTACAGATCATCTCTCCCAAGAAGCATATTGGGGAGGGGGAGGAAATCTGAAGAGAGGCGGGGGAAATGTGGGAAGAAGTAGTGGAATAGGAGGCAACGAGAAAAGGCAAGAAAAGAAAATGAATGTGCAGCTGCCTTGCAGCTCAGCAGATGTCGGGCTGTGATGTACGAGGCTAGGATAAGCTGTCGTAGCCTGCTGCCAAAAAGTGGTAAGTGATTAAAGCCTGCACAGTTCTAAGCACCATATTTAGAATCTGCGGGGTTTCAAGATTTGCACCCATTCCTTGCTGTGCTGCCAGATGTTGGCAACTGGTCCAGTTCCTACTGACTGTGCATGGATGGCAGCAGTTGGTACAGCAGCAAAGCAATCTGGAATGCTTCCGGAGATGCTGTACATTAACAAGTGTCACCCATCATTCACCTTTACAGAAGGCTGAAACAACTCCAATTTGCTGCCACTTCCCTCTTGGGAAGCAGCCAAGATAAAGTTGTGCCTGGCAGCCCCATTTGTTTCACTCAGGTGTTTCGGCTGCCTTGCTGACCTCTATTAGTTTAAGTTTTAATTTAGATTAACCTCAGCACCCCAATTAACCAGCAAGGAGAAAAGCTAAGATGTGACTAGTCATAACTCTGAAATCAGAATTTATCGAAGTTAAAATTATTAATTGGTATGAAGGGCCAATCAAGTAATGCTTTCTTCTTAAATAGACCTTTAGGCAAAGGGGGGAAGGAATCTTTGGGCTAAGGATTGTCGGCAGAAGCAACTCTTCTCTCCAGTAATTCAGTTTATTTTATTAAGTCCATTTAATTTATGATGCACTTCCCATTGAGCAATGTACATTTCCATTAATGGGGACTAGAACATTTCTGATTGTCCCCCGTGATCTCACACAATTACACAGCATTAATATCCTATACCAGGTACTTCCACTGACACTCCAGAATAAAACAGAGTTTCTGACTCATTTTACAAATGGATATAAGAGGAGACAAAAAAAGAATCAGGATCTGACTGGGAAAACCTGAGGCCACACCAATCCTCTTTCCTACAGCCTCTCATCATTACTCTTAAACTCACTTATGGCAATAATTTAGAGTGGATAGCAAGACTAGTAGGAAGTCTCTCTTTTTTAAGGCAAAGCTGAAACTATCTGCTATATAAAACCAGTTATTTAATTGGCTTTAAAATGCCACTTCCCTAGAAAGTTCCTTTCTTTTATACTTCACACATACAGCATAGTTATTACAGCTAACTTACAACAAAGAGTTGAAAATTTCTTAGTAAAACTTTTATACCTTAAAAATTTAGTTGAGAAAAAAAAATTTGTGTTGACAAATAATGCAACAAAAACTAGTATATCATTGCTGAACAGTACCTATAACATTTCAATGAGTTAGAAAAGATATAGCCTATAGGATACTTCATTATGCATAATTTATTATGCTACTTAGGGGTACAGGAAATAATATTATTTTTTAAAAACAGTCCAAATGACTAGTCTACTTTGGCATCTATAAGCATCATTACAAACAGGGATATACCAGCAGACAAAACAAGAATGAGAAAGAATTGGGGAAACAAATTAGGAAGAGATACTAAGAACTAGACCCTGTTTCAAATTTTACCAATTCTTTCTGTCTTCATAAGTCTACACTATTATTATAACCAACTGTAATAAAACTCTCTATATACTTAAAGGATTTAAAAAGGCAAAAGACATTAGAGACAAGAGACTTAATAGGTGACAGAACTAATAATATAATCTAAGAACTCAGTCTGAGACCCCAGTGCTTTACTTCAAATACTTCATTCAATAATGAGACAAAAAACCAAGTAACTACTAAAAGCCAAGTAAGAATAAAATTAACTCAAAAGAAGTTAAAACTCATTTTTATAGATCATTTATACTCTGTAACAACCAAGTAGCTATAGCTATATTCTTTTCTAAAGAAACGTAAAACAGAAGAAAAGCAATATATCCAAAAGCAGTCAATCTTACACAGGCATTCTGATTTCCAGTCTGATTCTAACCTTCACCCAGAAAAGTTTTCTCTGATCCTACTCTCCACCTAAACCAAGATACCTTTTTCATCCCAAGAATTTTTTAAACAGATTTTAAATGCTAAAACCTGACTTATAAAAAAAGAAAAGCATAAAAATCACACCTGGTGGTAAAAGTCATCATCATCAAAGATTTCTTCATCTAAATCCTTCAGGTGAGCATTGGCAGGGGCCTGAGGAAGCATCTCCTACAGCAATGGAAAGAGAAAAAAGAGTGATGTTCCAACAAGGTTACCTATCAATAATGTATACAGTGATTAAAATACTATTTTCCACAAATTATATAGAGTTCCTAAAATTAAAAATTTAAACATGCTCCAGTAGAGAGACATGGACAAAACTATTAACAGACAGTTTACAGGAGAAAAGCTGGGGTTAAACTCGGTGCTGTCGAATTGATTTCTACTCATGGCAACCCTGTAGCACACAGCAGAACTGCTCCATAGGGTCTTCAAGGCTGAAAAGCTCTCTGAAGCAACTGCTGGATTCAAGCTACTGACTCAGCAGCCAAGTTATTTCAACCATTGTGCCACTAGGGCTCAAAACAATTACTGATCGTATGAAAGAATGTTTACATACATGTAAACTAAAAGATACTACTTTTCAGTTGTAAAATTGACAATATCAATATTGAGAACACTGTTAACGGAAGTAGAAATGTGTGGAAACAATTTGATACTACCTAGCTACTGCAGAGTCAAAGCCGATCCTCCAGCAGTTTTCAGCACTGGAGGTTAATAACACAGGAGGAGACTGCTCATCCTTCTCCTGCCGTACTAGTAGCTGGTGGCCTTGAACCACACACGTTTGGAATTGTAGGACAGCTTCTTGCCACTAGGTTACTCTTTAACATTTTTTTTTTCAAGAAATTGAACTATATATTCATAAAAATACAAATCTAAATGTTCAGAAAGGTTTGCTATAGTACTATTTATAACACTAAAGACAGTTTAAATATCTGTTATCTGAATAATGAACAATCCAACAATGGACAAAGTCATCAGGAAAAATTATGTAGATGTATACCTAATGATACAGCAAAATGTCCAACACAATCTAAACTCAGTGCTGTCTAGTTGATGCCGACTCAGAGAAATAACATAAGACAAAATTGCTCCAAGGGTTGCAAGGCTGTAAATCGTTACGGAGACAGACTGCCATGTCTTTCTCTCACAGAGCAGCTGTTAATTTGAACTTTTTAATTACTAGTAAAGCTCTAACCATGCACCACTAGGGCTCCTTGGAGAGGTGTCCAGAATATATATTAAATTAAAAAGTCAAACTGTGATATTTTATACACAAGATTAAAATGTCACAAACATATACCTAATCGTCTGTATATATACTCTTATCCCATTTAACAAAGGGGGGGAAACAACTATAGTTTTATATAAGTAAATATGTGGTATGTGAATTGTTAGAGAGGGAAAATACCCAGAATCCTGTTATGAACTAATAAGTCATTAAATTTAGGGAATAGAATTTTTAAATTAGAGAGAATTTTACCTTTAATTTTAGATTCTTTTGAACTTAAAATAAGCATTAAGCATATATTCCTTCCATAACTAAAAATAAAAATATTAACTTTAGACAAAAGAATGTGATTATTCCAATTTTAGAGCCTTTCTAGGGTATTGAGACATCTAACAAAAAATCATGAACACACATGTTCCAATACTGACATTTTTATTAGTTTTAAAACTAAATTTTAAAGATTATAAATGCTTCTATCACTAGACTCCGATATTAAATAAAAATTAAGTGACTTTTACATACAGTAATTAATAGCCCCCTTTTTTATCTTTCTTTCTCCTCTCACATACTCAGTTTTTCTCAACAATCCAGTGTTTTCTCCTCTTTGTCTCACTAACTTCTTAGAATAAAAATAATATCTACAAAAAAGATGGTCATATTGTGCAGTTAATCAATTTCATAGAAAGTGCTCCCCATAATCACCCTACATCATAAGGTTCTTACCGGGTGTCCTGGTAAACTCTCAGGCACAGGCTGAGCTATTGGTTCAGGTCTGCCAAGAACTCGGTAGACAGAGCGTTTGGTCTGAGTCCTGCGAAGTAATCTTTCTTTGTCCATCAGAATATGATCGATCTGAGTCAAGATTGAGCGTTCAAAGGCACCAAAACCCTGCAACAACATTAACCAGTGTCAGATAATGTGGAAAGTCTGTGCTGAAGGCAGCTACATTGGTTTCTCTATCTTTCTGTGTCAGCAGAGAAACAGACAATCCCCTTTTCTTTTTTTTTTTTTTTTAAATCCCCTTTTCAAAGGAGACTTTCTGCTAAAGACTGAGCTTGTGAGTGGCAGTAATTGTTCTCAAGGGGAAAAAAAACTGGCCTTAACAGCAGGTCATATCACTTTTCCCTATCCAGGTCAGCTCTATTCTTGTAATAATTTTTTTAAAAAATAATCCATCTAAGTATTTTGTATTTTCATTCCTGCAACATTTAAAAGACACAATTAATAGATTAAAATGTTCTTTCTAATGAAGTTCAAATTCCAAGTCCAAATGGTATAAGCTTCCAATGGTAGCAGTTCAGTAAATTTTGCTATAAATATAATTCACTATTAATCACATCATGACCTTTTCTGTATGAATGAACTGCTGTCCAAATTTCTTAAACTGTTTCAGGCTGCTACAACCCATCTTACATATATAAGCATGCACACACACATCTGTATGTACACTTGCCTTCCCCAGTTTTCCAGAAGCCAGTTTGGTTTTGTCATGCCACTTCTGAAGCGTGCGGTTCCTGTAGACTGTAAAGTCAGCAAAGCGCTTTGCCATGAAACTGGGATAGTCTTCCATCTCCAGTTTCCTCTTTGGTGGGGCCCTTCTCTGCTGCTTCTCTTCCTTATGCACTTCATCATCGTCACTAGAAATTTCTTCTTCACTAGAAAACCAGTTAGAACACTAAATCCAACATAAAGAAACACTACCAAATAAAAACCCAGGCTCATGTGAAGCAGAGTATTTACACCTTACCTAGTCTATCTACATATTAAATAACATCATACACGAGGAGAGAGCTTTTTATTTAACTTTTCTAGTAAATATAAAAAGAATTCACATATATATATATATAATTTTTAAAAGGTAAGCAAACCATAAAAATAAATGAGGTTATAAGAATATTATTACAAATGCTTGTGAACTAGGCCTGCCCTGTTGCAAAAGGGTCTTTAAAAATTAAACACATAATCATACGTCTATGACTTTAATCTCCAAATCAATAAGGAAAACATGTCTCCCTAAAACCAACTATTCAGGAAAATGGAATAAATGTTAGTTGTGCCAAAAAAGGGACTGAATACAGAAAAAACCTCAGAGGCAGACAACCGAATGGGCCCTAAATTGTAATATATGCAACCACCATGAAAATGTAATATAATTTCCAACTACAGAGCCTGTACTGTATTCACTGGATTACTGACTCTAACTTAATAGTAGGTATTCAATAAATGTGCACTCTTTTTCTTTTTCTGTCTAACTAGTTCAACAGAAAAAGATAAAGCAAAGGACAAAATCCATGGGTAAAAAAAAAAGCTGGTATCTTACAGAAAAAGGCTACAACAGAGGACGAAACCCTTTATGAAACATGATGATTTCCATTTTCAAAAAATAAGAGGGATAAAATCTAAAAAAAAAATTTAATTAAGGAAACAAATAGTAACACTTTTCTATTAAAAAAATCCCAAAAAAACCCCATGATGATTTCAGAAAAAAGGTTTCTTTTACTGGCTCTTCCAAAATTTTATCCTTTGTTTCAGAAAATTTATTCCTCCTTACTGAAAGGGAGGTAGCTATAACAAAAATTCTGTGATACAGTCAAAAAAGTGCTAAATAAACATTAATTAAACATTAATAATAAAAATGTACTTTAATATAGTAATTTCCATAGGTCTATAGAGAAGTAATCCTTTTTATGCCCACAATACAGCTACAGGTAAGCATAAAAATTCAAAACCTCCTTCCCAATTTTATGTGCTATCCTGGTCACCAGTTAAAAGAAAGGCTCTTTCTATTTTATCAGCATTAAGTCTGTTATCAGTTTGGAAAGGATTTTACTTTCTTTTTTAAATGACAGGAAAGGATTCAGATTGAATATTACCCATAAGGAACTGCATACATCCAATGCCTCCTCCTTACCTCTCTGCTTTTGGCTTTGTGCCATCTACTAAATATTTGGTATCTGGGTACTGGAAAAGCAGTTCCTCCTGAAGATCCACCAATGACCTCAACAGTGCTTTAAGTGCCTTGTGACCTGGAAAATAAGGCACAGTGAAAATGTTAGCTATAGTTCTCTACAGTTCTTCAAAAGAAGTGATGCCTAGAATTCATGACTCCTGAATAATTCGGGCTGGAGGGGCCAGGGGACAAAGGCCTTACACAGGGGCGAAGAACTCTGAAATAGAGACCCACAACAGGAAGTAATAGCAGTGCCTTCTTCATAGGATTGTTATAAGAAGTAAGGAAGACAACACATGCAAGATGCTTAGAAAAGTGTATACCAACAGTGGTAATTCAATAAATTTTCAGTTCTTACCATGTTAAGTTTTCAAAATCCTGTCTCACTCACCACCTTATCCAATCATTGTCCCTGCTCCCGACGTAAGTTCAAGAATTTTCTATCACATATTCATCTACCACTTAGATTATTCATCTATCATCATTTTAGACAATTTCTCTTCCTCCTCTCAAAATTAAAACTCATTCCTGGGAAGCCTACTACCACTGCCGCCACCATCATCCCCAAGAGATGTCATCTGCCTTGGCTTTAGGCTGTCACATCACTCATTCAGTCTCTCAACAGATGTCCTAACAGAAAGTCACTTATCTTTTTTACAGATACAAAAACCTGAGTTAACGACTTATCACGTACAGGGTACACAACTTTGAGTTATGTATCCCAAAATCTCTACATTTATCAGTGTATGTTCTCATAGTCACCAGGATGGATATATTTGTAATATAGCTGGTTGGATTTAATTATATGGTTTATTACTAAGAACTTTCAGAATGAAGACTGGCCCTCTCATTACTGAATCCTTACCTTATTTCACTATTAGTATAATTCACTAAAAAGGCTAACTGAACACTGAAAATTACCATTTATGTGTGGACAGCATACATATGTCTCTCTTATTATCAAAATTTCATATTTTAGCAAATGTAAAAAAATCTTCACATGAATGTGGCATTATTTCGTCAAATACAATGTCAGAAATGGAATTTTTTTCTTCCCACCTAATATTTCCCCCTTATCTAAATTTCTCTTTTCTGATTGATGCATTCTCAGAGGAAATCACTGACATTTTGATGTCCTTATAATACATAATCAATCAGTTGCTAAATCCTGTCTTTTCCATTCTTATTGTCAATAATTACCCATTCTCTCTGGGCATGCATCCAGCCATTCTTTCCCTCCTCCCTACAATTAACTGCAATCATCTCAGAAACATCCCTACTTTCATGCAACAATCCCTACTTTTATTCCACATTCTACATTAACTTCTGAACACACAAAAAACCTTAAAAGACTCTTATTATTCTTATTTTTCCTTTTCTGCTTCTACTCTGCTAGTATGCAGACAGCTCATTACTTTACATTCCACTCTATTTAATCAGTAAGACACCAAAACAGGAGATAAACAAATCTGTTGCCATAGTCAATCCCAACTCATAGCAACCTTCATAGGGCACCACAGAGTCGCACCGCAGGGTTTCCAAGACTGTTACCTATACTGAAGCTGACGGTTGGTTACACAGTGGCATCACGACACTTAGACTCATCCCTCCCTGCCCTCTGGAACTTCTCCCTTACTAGTACGTAGTGTTTATTATTCATTTTAATTACAGAATAAAATGTGATATAGTGAAAATTCCTTGTTGTTGTTGTTATGTGCCGTCGAGTCGTTTGCGACTCATAGCGACCCTATGTACAACAGCCCTAAACTCTGCTCTATCCTGTGCCAATCGCATGGCCTCTGACACAACCATCCCGATTACCCCAGTCACTGAATCAATCCACCTCATAGAGGGTCTTGCCCTCCTGCACTGTCCCTCCACCTTACCAAGCATGATGTCCCTCTCCAAGGACCTGTCTCTCCTTACAACATGTCCAAAGTATGTCAGATGAAGCCCCAGAATCCTTGCCTCCAAGGAGTAGCCTGGTTTAACCCTCTCCAGGATGAATCTGTTTGTTTTCTTGGCAGTCCAGGGTACATGCAATACTTTCCTCCAACACCACAGCTCAAAGGCATCAATTCTCCTTCTATCTTCCCTAGTCATTGTTCAACTCTGATGCATAGCAAGTGATTGCAAAGACCATGGCCTGTAGTCTCCAGAGAGACACCGTTGCTCTTGAGTACTTTGCAGAGGTCCCTAACAGCAGACTTTCCCATCGCGATACGTCTTTTGATTTCCTGACTGCTGGTGCCAAGAGTGTTGACCGTGGAGCCAAACAAACTGAAGCTGTGAACAATCTCAACCTCTTCAACATTCATCCTGATGCTACCAATTGGTCCAGTGGTGAGAATCTTTGTCTTCTTGACATTGAGCCTCAGTCCATACTGAAGGCTGCAGTCCTTGACCCTCTGTAGCAAGTGCATGAGGTTCTCCTCAGTTTGGGCAAGCAGGGTTGTGTCATCTGCACAATGCAGATTGTTAATAGATCTTCCACCAATCCTGACGCCACGCTTCTCCTCATAGAGCCTGAATTCCTTACCTGTACTATTTCTAAAATTAAACAAATACAAACAACAAATTGTTTTTCAAAATCTTCCTAAACAGAATTAGAACATTACTGGTAGTAACTAAGCATAAACCATTTTTCTTTTTCTTCTTTTCCTTTAATTACTATTTCATTCTTAACGATGTTACTGACAATGTTTATTATTATGTGCTGTTGAATCAGAACTGACTCCTGACTAACTCAACCACTTTCCAGCAGGTTTTCAGAAGCTATAAATTGCCCATCTTTCTCCTGTAATCAAACCACCTGCCCGTCCTTGCGTTGGCCACCAGTGCTTCCTGTTACTGGTAACAGGTTCACAAATGTTTATTACCAGAGATTTTAGCTAAAATAATAAGAGATTTTATAAAACCCAAAATTATAAAAACACTAGCAGCAGCACATGTGATTCAAAGGCATGTGATTCAAAATATCATTGTACGGATGATAGTGACAGCTCTGATTATAACATAGTAAAACTTAAAGAAACCTTGAACTTACTGCTATTGAATCAGAACTGACTTGTAAATGATCTGCAGGTTTTCAGACTCTGTAAATCACTTGAGAAGAAACTGCCCATCTTTCTTCCACAGAGAAGCAGTGGATTCGAACTGCCTGCCTTTGGGTTGACAGCACAACTCTTTATCCACTAGGCAACCGGAGAGTTAAAAACAATAATTAATGGAGAGTTCTAACCTTGTCGGTATATTCATACATGTATGATTGGCTTCGATATATTTTATTAACTATTAGGCATATTATAAGATATTTTTCCAAAAAAAAAAAAAATACTAAAGTGAGTGTTTAACCAAACTCCAACACAAAGGCTACATACCATACTTCAAAACAGACTAACAGCTAACATATCTAGGGAAGCTTTCTCAAATAATCCAGCAGAACCTAAATAATAACCTTACGCCACCTTGCATTGTTTCAAATGATCTGCATATAAAACTATGTAAACACAAATTCCCTGGTTAAAATAGCAGATAAGACGTTTGATCATATTTTCTGATTCTGGATTCTTATTCTAGTCCTTTTATAGTAATACATATCCACAGGAACTAGAAGGAGTGGTAATACATATTACCAGAAAAAAACCCAAAGTATCTTGCATCCAAAATCAAGATTTTCAACTTGTTGCTCCTAATCTTTCAAAAACACCTTTCTACCAAATATGGAGATAGAAAGTGATATTCTAACTGATAAAATCACTAGTCACGTTATGCTGCAGACCAATTTGATCTTACTGCGTCTCAATTTTTTTATCTATAAAATGTTGAGAAACTTTTGCCTGTTTATCTCACAGAAGTAAGAATTCATAAAAAAAAGAATTAAGAATTCATTAAGAATAATAGTGAACAACTATTCCATTTCTCAGTTTTGGGAATTGTTTAAATAGGTATAAATAAAATTAAAAAAATAGGCAGGAAGGAAAAAATAAATACTTAACAATTTTAAAGGCAAGAATTATTCCATCTAATGCCCTAAGTGTATACACTGAACAATATGAAACTATACAAATATATGAAAAAGTTTCAAAGGAAGAAGAGAGCAAAGAATACAAATGATAACTACAAATATGTAAATTAGCACAATAGCTTAATTGTGAAAGAGCTGAGAACTGCAAACAGACACCCATCACATAGCAGCTAAGGTCCTAAAAATAAATTTGTAAGAAGAACTTTAAGAAGAAAATTTAAAAAACACTAATATCTGGAAGAAAGTCCATAAAAACACAGCATTCTCTTCCTAATTCTGCACACCTATCAAGTATCATTTTTACCTTCTTTTCTAGAAATGATTTGATTAAGAGACATCCCTTTTTCTTCAAAGTAAAATCATAAATAAATTTTGCATTTGCAGAAGAATTTTAGAATTCCTAGTCTCAGAATATAAAAATAATTGTTACCATTCCAGCTTCTATCTGCATTTGGGGGGGCGGGGGGGGGGAGTCATCTATTATCCCTGAATCTAGCTTAAAACAAACAAAGACAAACCAGGAAAAATAAGTGCCTGTCCTGTCTCTTACATCTTTTAAGTACTATATATCCATAATATAAGAAATCAAGAACCTCACAAGGAAGTTCTCACAAAAGTTTATGTTTATAGCTGCTTGCTCCAACAAGCAAGTCATAATTTGACTCTAACGTGTAATATTAACCAAGAATTGTGGAAATATCCAAGGAAAGACTATACCTTTTAAGAGCCACATTCAAGATACTATATAGTCCTTTCATTTGGTTCAAGTCACTTTTTTAAAATCCACTGCAGTTATCTCAGACAGCATATCAATCCAACAAGAAGGCAGACAGTCAACATCAGTAAATCAAAGTGTGCCTTTCTGTTAATACTCTCACATATGTTCTCATTTTATACACCCCTTCACCCATTCAGAAAGTAGCCCTGAAGTATTTAAGCTCCATCCAGGGATAGCACCACCATGCATCAAAGTGTCAGGAGACCTACCAGAGATGAAATCTGCAGTTCTGTGCTTCTAACCACCACCACCCAAAAAAAGAAGAGAAAAA